AAATATCATAAATATTTCATCCAGCAGGGTCAACAAAGTAATATCGTCAACATGAACATAAAAGTATGTATTTTTCACTTACCGACATCGTTCGTTTTCCGACTTGCTATGGGCGGTAAAGTTTTGTTGGCGCCTAAGAAAACTCATAGTCGCATGACATAATCAAAATGGCTGACTGTCTTGGATGGGTGGAGTTGGACATCCAAAAGGCGCTGCAGCGATAGGCTTCTCCCTCCGTCGGCAGCGGGGGGCTTTGCAGCCCCGCTCACACTGCTGAGAAAGATGGACTCTTCCTCGTCATCATCAGACATCAGGAGCTCCGAGCCTGCCGACTCGTCGTCACCATAGTCTGCATCTCCTCCCGGCATGTAGGAAGCGGCAGCGCCCATGCCATCCTTGTCCACCACATGCATTGGGGAAACGGGGGCTAGGAGCTGGGGGCTTGTGTCCGCTAAGCTCGGGCCAGGTGTGGCAGCCACCGCCTCAGGCATGTCCGCACCTTCCTGCGCCGCGGCTGCTTCGCTCATCAGTGGGTCGCCCCCTGACAGGTTGGCCTGGCGGACCAACCGGCGGCGAAGCAGCTTGCGGGGAAAGGCTGCGCAGTGGATGCACTCGTCTGTGGACGTTAAGGCAGCCTGGGCATGGTGTAAGCTCAGGCACGCCGCACACACAGGGTGAGTGTCCCAGCTCGAGATTATTTTGCGGCAGGGACAAAGTCTCGTGCCATTACCCCCATCGTTGGGGTTTATAGCCGTAGCCATGGTTAGCTAGTGAGGGGCTATGGGGGGCTAGCGAGGTGTATATCCCTAGGAATTTGTGCAGCTACTGGGGAACAGAAGGTAGTGTGAGGTACAAAGTAGTGCTACTTTATACACTTCAGGTATTTCTCCCCGCAAGGTCGCTAGTTTGTTGCTATCGGGTATTGCTACCTGGTAGCCACGATGCTAGCAATGCCTCGTTTTTTAAGTAGTGATACTTCGAGTAGAGGAGTACTGCTACTCCCCGGAGTTTTCTTAGTATTGCTACTAAGGAGATAGAAGAGTATTGCTACTGTTTCTATCCGACAACCGTACGTCTAGGAACGGAGCACCCGGTGACTAAGTTGCGCACCCAAGTCTGTGGACTGTTAAGCTCTGCTCTCAGTTGGACAGTTGTTGCCTCTGTGAGAAGCGAGAAGAGGGTTTTGAATGACGAGTGAAGCTATGTCGGCTTATTATATAGGAGGAGGGTCCCATCCCCTCCTGACATAGACTGTCACTTTTGCCAGCCAATTGGGGCTGGCGTAATGTCATTTGAGCTTCTGATGAGGTCACGCAGGAGGCGTTCCCCATAGTGAGACACGAAACAAATGCTATGAAAGAGAACTCTTAAAAACCCACCTCTTCAAAGAGCATCTCCTATCCCAACTCTTACCCATACCTCTGTACCCCTCTACTACTCTTTCTGCACTTCCCTCTCTGTCATGATGGGTTCAGTTTTTAACAAGCCCACATGCAGAACACAAGACAGGAGAGGTAGGATCAGTGTTAGATGATTTAATAATGATCACACAGTTATCGGCGAGAATCAGGATGGTCTGGTCCAGGGGAAAACGACAGTGACGGCAACAATGGTTCGCTATGAGGAAGGAGCAGAGTGGTGAGTTCAGGGGTCGTGGGAAGAAAGGAAATCCCTCTGGGAAAGCAGGCTGATCTTACTTGTAGTGGAGGAACGGAGTCTTGGAGGGGAAACAATGTATGTCCGGGGTCTCGGTTCTTGGTGGGTCCAGGAACAACGGAGGAGTGCGGCGGGGAGCGGACAGGTAGGCTCGGGTGCAGCGGAGAAACGGAGGAGTGGGATGGCCGCCAGCCGTGGAGTCCAGGAGATAATTGCAAAACAACGGAGAGGTGAGACTGGGCAACCTGTGGGTACTTCCCACGGCGTCACGAGGCTGGTTCGAAACCCAGGAATTCAACCAGGATCTCATCAAGGGATCACCTAAAGGCAACGGAGCAAACAAGGATAATTACTAGAAGGTTCAAGGACAACTAAAAACACAGAGACGGGCTCAGGGGGCTCAGAGGTACCGTTACTGGCTAACACTCAGGCGACGCTGGGCTGGCGGCCAACTCCTTAAGTCTGCGCCGCTGATGAAGATGATCACGAACAGCTGCGGATGATAATGCACCGCACTCCAACCGGAACCTGACGCCATCTGGTGGTAAAAGGTGATAAGGGCGCACAGGAACTCCCACCACGCAGCCAAAACCCCGGAACATAACACTCTCTCTTTCGTGGCTGTCCCACTGATTCTGACTAGGGACTTTCCTCTAGATAACTTATTGTCATATTGAATATAACTGTAAAATTGTGTCTACTTTGTAAGTCGCTTAGGATAAAAGCGACATATATACGTTAGTCATGATAGAATGCAGTACTAGCAAGAAAAACAATTGGCTTATTTAATAACATAGGCATACAAGTGCTTGTGATTTTGAAACTGTTAAACTATTAAATGACAGCTAATAACGGATAAAGGGAAAATGATCTATTAATGTAGGCTATATTGCCAATCTGTAGTAACAGGTAACAGTATGCACATACATAATATCCTCACGTATTTCTTATCTCACAAACATTTGATGAGAAGTAACACTTTTGTTCTCAACTTTGACGAGCAAGAACAAGCAGAGGCTCTCCAGGCCCTCAAGACATGAGCTTGATCAATACTCTTCAGCGGAGCAATTTATATTTCTTTGAGATGCCCTGCTGCAACATTACAGATTAAAAGGAACTGAAGGTTTTTGCTATATTTTAATAAGTTTAAAAATATATATTTACAAGTAACCACATGTCTTCATTGCTGCAGCCTCTCCCCATCTGAGACAGAGCTAAGGAGATAAGCATACTAATCAGTCTAGCTTAAAAATGTAGGTACAACTATGTACCTGATTTCAACAGCTTAGTATCCTGTGGAATCTCATGTCACCCCTGGCATTCTGTGGAACCCTCGCAACCATGGGCTGTGTTTGAGTTATCATTTTCTGAGTAAGAATTCATATTTACATATTAATAATGTGTAAAAAAAAAAGGGGGGCATTTCACACCTAGGCCTTCAGTAGTCTACGTCTGAATCAATTCACCCCTCAATAGCTATTTTATGGTTATAAAAATCATTGTGCATGCGCATTCACACGCTGCTCCCAAGTTCTCCGCGCACTGCTAATCTATGCAGCGACACAATATAATTAAACCTGAACTGTAAATAAAATAAATGGTGAAATATATATATATATTTATTTTTTTAAAAGATTTTGTTGGCTCTAGCTTGACAGGAAAGGGGCAGAGACAGAGAGGGGGAGACCTGCGGGAAAGGGCCATGGGCCGGAATCGATCCCAGGCCGCCCGCTTGCGAGCGGAGGCTCCGCATATGGTCCACCCGCTGTAGCCGTTAGGCCACAGCTGCGGCCCCGAAATATATATTTTATTTAACGTGGGAGCAGTGCGCGAATGCGCAATTACGCATCTTAGAGGGAACGTTCCGCAGGTACATCTGCAACACCGCCATCAGTAATATCCTCATAAACTTTATTCAGGAAAAGCAACAAATTATTCACCAAACATTCAGATTATTTGTAGACAAAATCCATCCTCCTCTCTTACCTCAAAAATACTGCAATTACTCTGTCATACAGATTATCCGTTCGCTTCAGTTCCATCAAGAAGTCCCTCTCTATTGCCATTGAAGCTAACGCTGAATGTCGATCCTGCCCTGTCGTATTTCTGGCATAAGTTTTTATTAGCTTTAGGGATCTCGACAGAAGCAGTGGACACGGGAATGGTCACCGCCAAACATACAAATGTGTACAGCTGCTTCATGCTTTCACTCAGATTTTTCTGACGAAGGAAGTCAATGAGATCAGTGTGAGATTTTCCTGCAAAATCATACATGGCATACATTACAGTCAGCTCTGTTTTTAGCCGAGACAGATCAAAAAGTGTTCCGTGGCTCTGTGTTAAACTGGAGAAGGCTGCATGCGGGAAATTGTTCTTGTATTCCAGAAACTTCTGGGGGTCGAGGAGGGTAACGAACATCAGTTTTTCGTGGGCTTGAAATCTGGTCTGTGTTTGGCAAATAATATTGTCCAGAATCTTGCCGTGGAGCTGGCGGTAGTGCGCGCGACGATCTTGCGCTTGACCCCTTCGTGCGCTCGGACTGCCGGCGGTGCGTTCAGTGGCCTTGTAGAGTTCCTCATATCGGCTTCTCTCTCGCTCAACGGTGTCACAAAACTCCTTTACCCTAGCCAGAAAAAACTGCACATCCAGTTTTTTGTTCTGTAGTATTGAAAAGAGCACGTCCGAGTACTCAAAAATGCCGTTAAATGTGTGAAGCAAAAAACAAAACTCAAAATCATCCAGACGTGCTTTAAACCCATCAGCAGAGCGCACTGAGTCCTCATCATACTCGTCATGATGCTCCAGAATGTGATCAAACAATTCCTTTAGAGCATCTCTCTTATTAAAGAACGGTATTGACCACTCTGGAAGTGGACCGCCACCATGTTGGTGCCACACAAGGGAGACGACGCTGGCAGATTTCGTCCAGGAGTTGCGTGCGCCTAGGCGATCTAGAAAAAAATGCAGCAAGGCCATTGAGGTGGCCGAAAAATATCTGAGGCCCCTTGAGTCAGTACTAAATTGAGCCGATGTGCATAGCAGTGAATGAATAAAGCCAAAGGTGCTGCTCTCTGTTTAACTTTAGCCTGCACTCCATTAAATCCAGAAGACATTACCGCTTCGCCGTCAAAACACTGTGCCACAATTTTACCCAGACATTCATTTTCCACCAAAAATTGGATGATAAGAGCTGAAATGTCATCGGCTCTTTTCCCACTGGTAACATCTTCAAATCTGACAAATCGCTCCTTGACACCTGTGCCCGTCACGTAACGCAGGACCAGTGCGAGCTGCGCTGCGTTAGTCGCATCTGTCGTCTCATCCACAATGACAGAAACAAACGGTGCTTTTCTGACCTCACTTCTTATCTCTTCTCCCATCACTTCAGCAATAGCAGGGATCTGGTCGTTTTGTATATTACCCGACGTCCCAGTAAACACTTTATTAGTGGACAGGTGGTAATGCAAATCCTTGTTGCTCTCAGCAATGAGAGAAAGAAGCTCTACATAGTTTCCTCTTTTTTTGGATCCAGTGCTTTCATCGTGACCCCGAAATGAAAGTTCCTGCTTGCCCAAAAAAATAACACAGTCTATCAGTCTTTTTAAGATTTCCTTGTTTTTCTTTACCTTTTCGTTGTGGAGTTCCGTTTCCCTGCGCACTTGCTCGTTCAGCTGTAGATCTACTCTGGTTTCCCCAAAAGTTTTGGAAAGCACGATTGGTCGTAAGTGTCCGGCAGTGCTTTGGTGTCTCGTTGCTGCCTTGGTTAGGCAAGTCAAATTTACAAAACCAGTGTGGCTCCGAACACCATGTCGATCAGTGGCAAATAACAAGCACTCCCAGCAATACAATTTGCAGTGTTCTTCGGACCCTGTGAGCAAGGTGTCAGGGGGCTGGGGTTTAGGGAGGACTCAGGCGCAGAGAGGTGGTTAGATCCAACGGTTTATTGAACAAAAATCGCACTCAACGAGTGGAGACAAAGTACCAAAACAATAAACAAGACTATGAACAAAGTATCAAAACATAATCACTCTAACGAGGAAGACAAAGGCTGAGAACAAAGTATCAAAACAACATGACTATGGTTGAGGTACAAAGTAACAAAGAAATACTCACTAGGAAACTGTAACTGTGATCGAGACAGGAACTGTGGTCATGGAACTCAATACACCGGCACGGGACAAGGGGAGACGAGGACTATTCAAACACATGAGGGAAGGGATCCCCAGGTGCAGACAATAGGTAATCAAGGAGACAATCAGACTGGGAACACAACAGGAAGTGCAAGTGACCTGAAACAAGGGAATGCATCTTTCAAAATAAAACAGGAAATGACAAGACAACATGGAGACAAGACCAAAAACACCAACATTTCCCCCAGGTGTGACACAAGGTGTACCACTCATAGTTTGTTACCTGAAGGTGACGGACAAATCCTCCTCCAGGTTGTGACAGGCTTGCTAGCCAGCAATCTGATGATATTTTTTTGCTTTTCCAATTTTTTTTTTTTGCTGAAGGAGATAGCTCTGAATATCTTGAAAGGTAAAATTGAAATATCTCACACAGAGCTTTAAGAAACTCAGTGAGCAAGAATGTCTTTACGCTTTTGTGGAGTTGCGTAATACAGAGCCCTGAATAAGGGAGCGTTCCTTTTTATGCGCGCTAACATCATGAGTTACTTTGCTTTAGGTACATTCACAACAGGCCACTGCGAGTATACCCATTTTCAGTCTGAAATGATCTGGGCAAAAAGATCATGTTCAAAACTATTCACAAAGAGAGTTTTTTTTTGACGGGCTAGTATATCCAGCTGCAGTTTATCTTTGGGACTCTTAAACAGCACTGTTCAGGCTATTGGTGCAGCTGGACTTGCCTTGGTAAAATACTTCAGGATGCTCCGAGGCCTGGAAAATGACATCATTCAAAATAACCAATTGATTCTGATCAGGAGGAAACAGATTTTCATCATCAAAAGAATGAGGTAAACCCTCAACAAATCTTTTTATTCAGTTTTTGTAATTCAGCATACATGGGTTGAAAAGAAATATAAATCCATACAATATTTTGCGATACAACATCCATCACACGGTTACAATTTTGCAAAACATTCTTTACAAAGAAAGTCTTCCCACACGCACTGTGTCCAACAGATACACAAGAAAGGGGTTTTAAATGTAGGGTCAAATTCTATCTGTTTTTCACCGGAATGCAACGTTTTCCCCATTAACCTCAAATAACCAAAAGGGATAGTTAGTCCTTCTGAGAAAAGCCTTATCTTGTCATACATGAGAAATGTTTTGCATTTTGGGGCAGGGACTCTATCCCATTTGATGGTGTGCTGCAGGGCTTCTATTACATAGCCTCTAGACCCGAGCAAGTAACCCTCTCCCAAAATCTCCCAAAATTCACCTTCTCACGACACTCATTGTCACAGTCTGTGTCTTTTTGTCTCACCACCTGATGTCACCAAAGTCCCTCTTCCTTTTTTGGGTGTCTGTGTCCCCACCACCTGTTCCCTATGATTGTAATATCATGTGATTGCCTCGTTTACCTATCATGTTAGAGTATTTAAACGCTGTGTTCTGTTGTCTTCTTTGTTGAGTCCTCGTCGGTTACTCAGTAAGTCTTGTGTGCTTCTCTTTGTTCTTTAGCCTCAAGTCGCTTTTGTTCTTCTTTGGATCTTATCTTTGTTTGCCCTTGTGGAATTACTTACGATAAACACATTATTCATCTTGTTGGAAGGTGAGATGCAGTATTTGTTGTATTTCCACTGAACCATACACATTTCAGGATTGATAAAGTGGAAGCAGCTTACTATGTATTTACCTGAGAAAAGACTTTTTAAAAATTCCTCCGCGTTGCTCACAATGGTGGTTTGAGGCAATGTGCAAATTTCCCCCAAAAGCTGTTAAAACACAGTTTAACCACCTGTTTGTTAGCGGGGTTCACCTCAATGTTGTCTTTATTCAGCTGAATGCCCTGATTAAGTCTGTGGTCTGTTACATACTTTAACCTACTCTCCTCGGTTCAGCCGGGTAGCCTGCTTTAGAATTCAGAATGGTGTAGATATACCCTTTAATGATTGAGCTGCTTTTTCCCCCAAAATGCAATACATTACAATGTAACCGCATTGTAATGAAGGTTTTTGCAGCAGGTGGGGCAACCGGAAAGAGGCTACTCTAAAACTCAAAAGCAATCTTGACACCATTTGCTTCTGCGTACCCATCCACATAATGGGGTCCAATTTTCTTTTCCCCCCTGTTTAACGCATGCTGGATGTCTATGTTTGCTGGGCCTGGCTACCCTAGAGAACGTCTTGCACTGACGCCTGTAGTCCACTGGTGAAGGAATAGTAAAAATATTAAGGGACAAAAATGGCTGCAAAATTTCACACAGCCCTTGAAAATAATCTCTACATTATTTTCACTATAATGAAGAGCTCTTTGTCAAAATAAAGGATCCCTTGCATGCCTCACTGTACCAGCTGTTAAACCACTGCTGCACAGTGGGACTCATGAGTTCTACCATGTAGGAGCTGGGGGTTGATAATGTTCCTGAATATTAGAGATGTTCAGAGGAAAATAAGTCTGGGAAAAAACCTTTACTGTAATCAGTGAAACCCAAGGCTTTTGGCACTCAGTTTCAAGGCCAGAATTGAAAGGCTATCAATGAATTTCAGGCTGTAATCAGGGTCTGTAAAACAGATAATTTTGCTGCCCTGCGTGATGAGGGTTTAATGCATAACTGCACCATCACCCTCAGGATTAGGTAGCTATCGTATCCATGAGCGTTATGAGCTAAAAAGATGCAACCTGTCTACTTGAGCCTCCTGAAATGAAGGACAAATTCCCTGACGTAGTTCAGACTGTAAGCGTACCATACAGCTCCTTTCAGCGTTTTGGAACAGACCAGAAAGGGACCGTGTACACTGCTCTGATAAACCGATTTGCCATCAAGCCATTCATCAGCAACGCAAGTTTGAATGTAGCACTGATGTTTGTTTAGCATTACATCAATATCACCACAAACAGGGCATTTAATTTAACACTTGTGCGCAGTACTCTCTCTGGTCATTGCTACAAAATAAAAATTTTTTACACACAGGACATATTTTTGCTGTGTCACTACTCACAACCATTCCCGCATTTTGCCTGACATGGAGCTTTTTGTGCCTGTTAAAGCACAATGCATTACGACTGCTCCTGTTGCAATCCCCACAGTTTACAGGACGGTACTCTTGGAAAGTATAGGTCGGGTTTTGGCATATAGGACAGTAGCCCTCACAGTAATCCATGCTGGGGTTTTCGTAGCTGGCGTAGCAGTTGTCGCAGAGGGATCCGATAAAACTCTTTCGGTTTCTTATCCCATAATAATGGTTTTTGAAAAAAATTTTAAAAAAGAGGGTTTGGTAGTATGTTTTCAAATTCTCCCGCATTGCTGAAAATAACCGGTGTCTGATCAGTCAGACCTGCCATAAGGTGTCAATCTTCCCTCTGCCGTGAAGCTTGATTGTCTGTAAAATATGGGTTGAACATGTGTGTGAGGCTAATGGAGAAGCACGGCTGATTACAGCTGTTGTGGACAACAAACAAGTGGAATCTCTTTTTCTGGATCAACTGACGATGTAATGTTTTTACAGCCTTACGCTTTGACCCACCTCTAGGGGTTTTCTCACTATCCGAAGATGAAGTCATAAGTCGCTATATGGTGGAAGCTCAGCATTGGACTCTACAAGCTCATCTAAAAATGCCTGAAATTCAGGCAGAATGGAATCACCCTGATCATTTACTTGAACATTCACATTAGAGAAAATCCATCCATCCATCCATCCATTTTCTGAATATGTGGGGTCACGTGAGGACTGGAGCCTATCCCAGCATTCAATAGGCAAGAGGCATGGTACACCCTGGGAGGTCTGCCAGTCCATTGCAGGGCTACGAGAGAATCCTTCCCCCACTAATTCCAGCTGTACAACATTGTTACATTTGACTATCTCTCTTGCAGAGTCAGCAAGATTGATGAGAATGAGCATAATATTTGTACAGAATGCAGCCATTTCAGGCACATTACCAGGGCAGGGAGCAGTCACTCTGAAAAGACGTCTGAAAGGATGCCTTGAACTATGTCATCAAAGAATATTGCCCACTGGGGTATCTGGTTGCTGGGATCTTGTGACCATTTCTGCCTGCCTCTGTGTGTGTGTGGGCTATTTGCTAACTTTGACTTAATGTAACATGTTAGAATGGACAAATATGTCTTACCTTCTAACACAACTGTCCTTGTAAAAGACATGGAAATTTGACACTGGTCACATGTGATGTTGGTGTTTTACCTCCAACACAACAGTCCTTGTAAGAGTTAGAGTGCGCAAATTTCAGTCCTACAATACACTTCAAAAAGATTTAGCTCAAATACATTTTCTTTGACCAAATAGTGCAAATTTATTATTTAAGGCACAAATAAAAACTTGCAAACATTACCAATTCACAAAATGATACATAGAGTGGCAGCAAAATACTGAATATGAGAATTACATAGTTACACAAACAAAACAAAAAACTCCCACATCCAAACATGTAAAAGTACTTTCTCATTGTGAAGGAAAAAGTTAGAAAACTTTTGAGAGCAAAGAAGGTGAAAACTTTTTTAAACAATGAAAATTCTATTTCGTCCCCAAATAAAAACAATATTACTCTTATGAATATGATGTAGTTATTTGGCAGAAATGTCCATATTTTCAGGAAAAATGTCTTATGTTACATTTCCGTTACTCGAAGGGAATTACAGAAGATAGGGGAACCAACATTATATCAGTACATCAATACATAGAGCTGTGGTATCTAAATCTTGTGTAGAGTAAGTATCTTCATGTGTTAAAAAAAATCAATAAATTCTTCATAACATTGCTTAATTTAACTGGGACTAACTGTGTTGACAGTTTAGTCTTAAATGTTCTTTGCTTAGAGTCCTACCAAGAAACTAACAGAGGGTGAAAAAGATATGGTGCATCATTTTTGTTTTTGACTTTCTTTTAAAGAAAGCTCAGTCACTGCATAAAACACTTTTCTCTATTCTGTTTCGCATACTTGCTCTTGCGTTGTTCAAGGCCACGATTCAAACGCTCCTCCTCTTCTAGACCTCTAAAATCAGGACAGAAGTGTCACAGGTTGTTGATTAGCACATATATCTTATTCCGAATCAGAAAGTCAAATATTAATTCTTATCAATGAATTCACAATTTCCGTTTCAATGTAAACACAAATTCTGAGCACATCCGAATTGAACCTCAGCCACCAGTAGCAAAACCAAATCATCAATGTAACTTTAATTTTAATGGATAAAAATTCTAAACTTCATAGAAAAATTTTCACTGACTACAGAAGTCAAGGCAAAGTGGTGGGAGCACTAATGGTTTGGCTAAATGTGGACAAGTACAGTAGAATGAAAAATGGTTTTTCGAATTATCAAAACCAAAATATTTATACAAATTATTTGTTCAACCCCTTTATGTACAACTAATGCAAACAAATATTTGATCAAAATTTAGATTATGTATGGCCTTTGGCTGATTTTTTAAAGTAATAGAAAAACTACAAGATGATACAATGCAGTGTATTTCCCAAAAGTAGATCAATGAAGAAGAAACAACTTGTACAAATCAATAAAACATATTTTTCCCCTCTAATGGAGAAATAAAGGATTACAGTGTATCATGTATCAAATAATATGTTTTAAAAAAAAGTTTTTTTTTATCAGATGAGTAGTGCTGTAAAATTCTGCCCAAGTAAAATTACATGCACACACATTTAATGTCTACGTAGCTTTTTAAGCTTTTTAGTAAAGAACCTTGCCTGAACTTTTCCAAATGTTTTCTTATAGTAGTGTTCCTACTTCTCATGTTATATGTTATCTGGTGGAAATGTATGTAAAAACACTTAAATATAATTATACGTGTTTTTTCAACGGTACATCACATGCGCGTGTGTCTTACCCCCTCTCCTTAGCATCCATATTCTTAACTAGTTCATCCCTCTGGTTGACAACAGTCACAAGCTCCTGTAGCAACAACTGCTCTCTGTGTTTATGGGCCTGAGTCTTCAGACATTCTGCACAAGAAAGCAACATGATAAAACATTTCAAACTAATTAAGGTGGAAGGAGGAGAACATGTTGGTAATTATTTGTTCAATGACAAATATACGCGACAGAGGTTAACCCAAGAAGGTTGTTTTAAATCTTTTTGGTATGGAAGACGTTTAATGATCCTGACAAGGGAATTGTCAAGAACAAGTATTACATATTGATAAAAAGCATTACAAGAAGCAGGTAGCTGCAAGTTATTAAAACAAGTGCTATGTACCAATACTGTAAAAAAAAATAAAGGTGACTTGTTGATGCAATTAACATTGAGGAAAATTTTGTAAATAACTGTCATTACTGAATTACATTATATTTGTATTTATTTTCAAGAAGACACATTTAAAAATGTACTCACATTTCAACATTTCTAGATGTTATCCCATAAGCGAAAGGTTACTTATCCATTGTTTAAAGGGGGGGAATTATGATGTTGAGCAGGTACGTAAACTACAGATTTGTGTACACATAACTCAAATAAGTTCCAGAATAAGCACATAAACAAACTACAGGCTGACAAAACTACAATATCTGTTTTCTGCATATTTACTGCAGCAGTGCATGCTAGATATAAAATTGTACCTTCAATTGCAATCAAGTCTCTCAGCTCTTTGTTTAACAGCTCATATCTTCTTTCCAAATCCTTTTCTTCCACTCTGTTTATAAGAAAGAAACAAAACAGTGTTTTCTTGTGGTTTAAAAGTAAATGAACAAATTAGGGCCATGCATGTAAAGCAAAAAAACAGTACACAAGCAATTAGACATAAACATATGGACACAAACATCTTGTAGTTGCTCTTGAAAGTGTTAGTAAAAAAAGTTTGATGGATAAAAAAATCCCTACACGTTCATTGAGAACCACCCATGGAATTGGAAATGACACTTATTACTATTAAGCATGGAACATCTACACTTCTCATAAAGTTTATAAGACGCAATGACAAAAAAATATGGTCTTTCTTTAAATGCAACATTGTGCACAAATACTTTTAAAGATGTTGGTGGATTATTTATAACATAGACCATACACTGTTTCCATTTATACACTTTGAGAATCAGTGATTATCCTTGTTTTCGCATTCATCTGTATGTATTCACAATTTCTGTTGGCAGGAAACAGTACAAAGATAAGATAAAAGACAAATTATCTTCAGCTGATACACATTACTCACTGGCTGCAAAGGAATATTGTTAATTGTGCAATACTGTAGTTCAAGCACTAAAATATTTGCAAACAAATTTATGTATTCTGCCAACTCTTGATGTGTCACAAATTTGACAAGGGGGCTAGATGGAAAATATGAACAAATTAAGTGCGAATGTAGTGGACAGATGGACATTGACACTGTATATCAGTTAGATTAATTATATGCACTTTGAAATTCTACCCATTAGACAACATTTATTTAAACAAGCATTTGTTTCTTACAAAAGTTGCAGTTGATCTTGTCTTCGAATCAAAGCATTCTTCTTGTTGACCAGCGTAAACCATTCCTGAATTAACCTTTCTTCCTCCACCTTGTCAGTGCCTGCAGGAAAAAACAATTTTATCTAGCAGGGTCATTATATTTCAGTAAAACACTCAGGTTGTTTCTGGGACCTACTGGAACCACTCAGCAGGAAAATCAAAGTACAGAGCGCCTCAATTTTCGTTCACACTATTTTCGCCCTACATTAAGTAGTTATTTTTCAGCTTCCTTCTTAATGTGCTCCTTTTTCATAATGTTGGTGTTGATTGGCATTGCAACATCTATCACTACTGGCTTTTTCTACATTCTGTCCATCCATCTTTTGTCCATACCGCTTATTCTTAGTAGGGTCATTGGGCGAGAGGCCAGAACCCCCTGGACAGATCAACAGTCCATCTCAGGACCACACATAGACAAAACACAATCCTAACATTCACTCCTACGGCAAGTCAGAATGTTCAGTTACCTAAAGTGTATGTTCTTGGACAGTGGGAGGAAGCCAAAGAACATGTAAGGAACGCAAGCAGACACGGGGAGAACATGCAAACTCCAGACAGAAAGGTAACCCCTCTTTCTGTGTGCTAAGCACTACACCTGTCACGTCTGGGGGAATGTCTGGTGTCTCGTCTTGTCATGATTACCCATTGTGTACACCTGGGGTTCCCCTCCCTCATGTGTTTAAATAGTCCTCGTTTCCCCTTGTCTGGCGCGAGTGCGTTTTCGTCCTTTGGTCTTTCGTCTTTTTGTCTTTCGTCCGCCTGTTTTCGTCTGTCTTTCGTCACCCCCACGCCAGTCCAGGTTTGCTTTTTTGCCTCAGTCTTGTTATTCTTTATTTTGTTACTTTGCCGTTGTCATTTTTTCGCCACAGCCTTGTCACAGTTTTGTTAATCTTTATTTTGTTACTTTGCCACAGTCTTGTTTACTTATTGCTTTGATACTTTGCTCACAGTTTTCCATAGCCTTGTGTTGTACCATGTGTGGACTTCCACCTTTTTGTTATAATAAACCTTGTTCTCCGTCATCTCCGCATCTGAGTCCTCCCTTCAAGAACCCACCCAACATGACAACACCACCATGCCGCCATTATTCCATTCCTCTGTGAATTTAAAATTCCCGATATTTCTGGCCACTACTTGATTCCCATTTTCTAGGTATCCTAGTCCTGCACATTTCTTTATGTTTTTCATACATTTTTATACACTTAGGTGTATTTTGTAACTGTGCTGCTGTAACAAGTGAGTTTCCCTACAGTAGAATTAATAAAGGACTACTCGTCTTCTTCATCTGTAGCTTGCTAATCTTGACTATGAGCTAAAGCTTCCTGCTTTGGGACATGTCACTTCTAATATCACCAGTGTAGGCAATGTATGTGAACTTAATGATTAACACAACTTTTTAAAATGTTGCTAGGGTTGAGAAAGCTTGTATAGGAAGAGAAGTATGGATATTTTTATCAATATTTTAAAACATAATATTAATTTGTATACCTAAATTTCAGTCACCGTCCATCAGTTAGCAGCCATGAAGTACTTTACCTGTTTCGAGTAACTGTCTGAGTTTTCTCTCCACCACTGCTGCCCTGTTATCAATGTGCTTTTGTTCTGATTCCAAGGTTTCCATCTGATTCAACACATATTGGCTTTGGTCCTTGATGTATTGATGTACATACAATTGCACACAAAAAACAAACACACATAGAAAATGTTGATAACTGAGACATGATGATCATAAAAACCACGAAAATCTTAGAATAAAAAAAACACAGTCCATCTTACTGACCTGGCCTTTCGGTATTACCTTCTCCTCTACAAGTTCTGATCTCTCTGTAAGAGAACAACAATTTAATAACAAAACACAAATTAAAAAAAAAATCTGCAAGAAAGATAACTAAACATTTTCATTAAAATGCTGCTTAAAAGTGATAAATGAAAGAAAAGCCAAAAATCATTTCACCAGTTTGTCTGTCCCTCCAGTCATCTCCTGCAAGTTCAGTCTACAAAGATGGATACAAATTCCTTAAGTATCTCAAATGAGAATTATATACATAATAAACTGTACATTTCTATGGCTGAAAGTATCTTACCACTGTTAGGTCTCTTTTTTCCACCGTCCGACCGCTAAGCTCAGACATATGTTTCTTCACAAGATCAGCGTCTTTGATAGGACAGGAGTCTGACTTGGACAGGAAATAGGTCCTGGGTGGTGCCACTGGAACTGGTAACCGTTTGGTTCTAGGAGGTGGAACCACATTGCAACGGCTTTTGCTTTCATTATCTGCTTTGCTTGTATTAGCGATGATCTCGGGACGAAAGCGTTCCTCGTGGAGTCTTTGAGTGTAATAGGAAAAAGTTGCCTCCAGGTCTGCTCGGCCCTCTTTTCCTCCTGTTGCTACATTGCTAGACTCACAGCTCTCCTTCTTTATACTAGGGATATTGGGATCCTGGCCAGTAAAATGAGTTTTGATCAGGTTGAGGTATGTCATGATGATGAGGCAATCGGGAACAGGAAGCGTGACCATGTCTGAGGGTTCCATCAGTCGGCAAATGCCAAGTTCAGCAAAGCTATCAAAGGCCTGTAATATGTTAAAAGGAAGAGATGTATTATTTCAAAGACTCATCAAGCAAACACCTACAGTATATCATAATCATAATCTTTTTTTAAAAATGCAAACACAACCACTCTGACACAACCTCTGTGTTTCAAGCAGTATGTAGTAAACTAAATGAATAGGAGTGTATTTACCTATTGATTCAAATAATCTGTTATAAAGCAGTTACATTTCAGAAACATACATTATTAGATTTTTTTCCTTCTAATTTATAAAGCTCAGCACTTCTGAATTTCATAATAGACTTAATTAAAATATATATTGAACACGTCTATAAGTCTGGTATTCTTTTTAACAGTTTTTGAATGATAATTAAACTAAGACTAAAATGTACTTGTCAGGGAGGTGGGTCTTGAGGGAGGACTCAGGTGCGGAGATGAGG